CTGGGAGGGTAGAGGGAGAGTGGGTTGGAAAGAGGGAACCGATTACAGGGAACTGTGTGTGACCTCCTCCCTTGTGGGCGGACAGCAGAAAGGTAGGTGAGGGGAGATGTTGGACAGGGCAAGATATGACAAAGTAATAATTGTAAATTATCAAGGGCTCATGAGGGAGGGGGCAGCGGGGAGGGAGGGGAAACATGAGGATCTAATGCCAAGGGCTTAAGTGGAGAGGAAATGTTCTGAGAATGATGATGGCAACGAATGTACAAATGTGCTTGACACAATGGACGTATGTGTGGATTGTGATTTTAAGAGTTGTACAAGCCCCAATAAAATGATTTTTTTTAAATGTCCTGGTTTGGGGGGGTTGGGGGGAGTAAATAATCACACCACATACTTTGTTAAAAACATAGAGAGATGCCATGGCCCATTCCAACCTCCTGATTCAAATTCTTGGGAGAGGAGAGAGGGGTGGAGTGTGCTAGGCATCTGCATTTTTAACAAGCTTTGAAGATGATTCTGATACCTAAAACCAGTATTTGGGACCCACAGCCACAAATCACAATCCAGCCAATAACCACAGATAAGCCACTGACCACACTTTTCTTAGCCCATGAGGACAATCAGATTTGGGATCTGGAGATTCAAATCGTTACCAGATTTTATAAGTCTGAGTTTCCCCACTTACCAATCATTTCCAGGTGTGCCACTAGTTTGGACACGTTGGCTTTAGCCAGCTCACTGGTGGTCTTATTCAGCACCAGAGAGAGTGAGTGGACCTAGGAACATGAAACAGAAAGCAAGCCATGCATTACTGGGGGAAGAAAAAAGTATTTCGAGGGAGATGCATGAAAGCTCGGGATATTTTAAAGTAAAGCTTTTGACAGTACCCGTTTTAGCTTTTTAAAGTCGGGCAAACTAGAATGTGAGCGGGGACAGACATGACAGGAAAAGAAACTCAGCTGAAGAATCTAATCTGTGGGGTCTTCTTTAGGGTGCCCTTGTCTGGTTTCTGTTGGTAAATTCTTTCTACTAAGAACATTTTTTTTCACTTTTGCATGTGTATTTAATGTTGCAGTATTCTGCTACTAACACAGATTCAAAGTATATAGTCTGACCCCCAGACATCTGTCAAGGCAAAGTGATGAACATTATTTAGAATCATGCTTACTGTCTTTTGATCAGTATGTAACAGAAATCCTGGTTGATCAACTGGAAAAGCATCTAGAATTGTTTGTCAGAGACATGTATCAGATATTTCCTTTCCTAAGGATAACTATAAATAGAAAACAATCCCCTGGCTTAGAAACCACATCCTTTGCTACAAATACCTTCTACATCATCACATAGCAACTGTAACTATGAAAAGGAGTAGTATGTGTAGGATTTGTTGAGGCAGGTGATTCCACATGCTCCGAGGACCATCACTGGGGATGTAAGCATTGACTGAGAGGAGGAAACAGAGAGCAGATTCAAACTTCAACCAGCATGCACTGCTCCCAAATGGCAGAGATTAAACCTTCCTTGCTTCTTTTTCTTCAGAGCCTGCCATAAAGTCAGCACCCAGTAGATACTTGATGAATGAATAACGAGGAGGAAAAAAGGTTGAGAAAATGGGAAGAGGAGGCCAGTACCAAGAGACAGAAGTCTCCATGGCTGCGAAGGGCTGAGAGAGCTGCCTGCTTCCTCATCCCAATTCTGAGTTGTAGTGGCTTGATCCTATTTCTGCTTTGTACTATTACTTCCTTAATAAACCACCTACCCTTAAGGATGGTTTTTGAGTTGTGTGTGGCCATTGCAAAAGATGATTGAGCCCAGCAGATAAGGAGTGAGTGCCATGGAAGGGACGGTTGGTATCAAACTTGGCAAGAAGTTTGGAAATGAGGTATGTCGGACTTCTACCTCATAGGGATCAGCCTGGAGTTGATATTGATTCACATCATCTCCCGCTCCCCCCACACCCCCTAAAGTCAGATCGGCTCAGGCAAGTGCTAACTACAACTCCTGCCACTTCACAGCCAACATGTAAATTAATAAATCCAAACTCAGTCTTAAAAGAAGACAAAAAGAACAGATACCTTGAGATCCAGCTTAGTGTTCATCGGATCCTGAAGTTCAGGCTCTAGCAAAGGATTTGACTCTAACTTCACATTGTGCAACACGTCCTCAGCCGGCACCTTCATCGCGTGGTTGTCAGCAGTAGAGCCAATTCCAAAAAAATCTAGAATCACGACCCAGGTTTGTAGTGTGATGAGTACATCCAAGCAGTTAAAGTCAACATCGATGCTGCGGTTAACTCGGTTGTAACTGGAAGAAAACTCTGGATGTTTCTTATCCACCAGGAATATATTGATGTGGACCAAGGAGTCGTCAAATTTACTCCTTCCAGCAAGTATCTTGGGCTCATCTACTGATGGAGAAGGTGGTGGAGTTAACGGGTAGTCCTTGTCCTGGACTTCTTTTTGCTTTTTCCGGGATGCCGAGGTGGGTCTTTGGTATAACTGAAAGACATTAGTAGCTTCTTCCATGTGGGAGGGAAGAGACCGTGGCATATCGGGATATTCCACATTGGACACAGAAGGGCAAGACTGAGAGAGATATTCTTTCTGGGCCAAGCTAGATGGTTTGGGGGCTCCTCGGGACACCATCAGGTTCTTATATTTGGAGTCAGGCTTCTTCTCCAGTAAGTCTTCCATTAGCAGAGACCGCAAGGCAATCTGAATGGATAAAGTCTGAGGGTGGTCTCTACTGAATTCCACCTCAAAATCCTGAAACTTTAAGCTCACAAGACCCTGGGCGCCCAAAGTCAGATCTCCACTTAGTTGAACTTGAAGCTCTGATATACAAAAGTTGGCTTGAATCTGAGTGAAGGATTTCACTTCCTTCACAGACAAGGACTTTTGTGAGGAGTTAGAAAGGCTGGAGTGGCTGAACAATCCATTCTCCTTCCTTTCAATGGAAGGTTCTCCACAGGTACTGAGGGAAGGCAGAGGAGAATTAGGGCAAGGTGAGGAGGTAGCACTGACCGGAAACTTATTCAGATCTTCACTATACACAAGATTGTCCAGCGTTTGTAAAACCTGCTCATACACATGCTTTGCTAACACCACCTGTATTCAAAGAGAAAAATCCAGTTATTCCACAACTATTATCAACTCACTCAGATGTACTGCCCAGAAATTTTCAAAGCTGACTTTTGTGAGGCTTCCCCACCAGGTGATAGGAAAACTGATAACAAGGGTTATCTAACTCTTTGGCTTCTTTTCTGCCTCTTCATTCTCACTGCCTCATTTCCATTTACAAGGGCCTCCCCACAAGACAATGCCTGTTGAATAAAAGCTGTTCCTCCTATGACTGAACCAGCAGTCACTCTTTCAAAATCACAAAGACAACTGCAGAAATGAAAGAGAACATTGCCAAATATCTGACTGGAATATACCATAGATTTGGGAAACAAGACCCCAGGGAGTCGAAAACTGGCTGATCACCATCAATAAGTTTAACAACCTATGTTCTGCACTACTAAACAAAGAAGAGGTACTTTTTAATGATGCTAATGAGTATTTAATGTTTCCTTTCCCCTTTACTTTGAATTAATACTTTTTATTAAAAATATTTTCAGGGAGTAGCCCAGCATACTTTGCTGCCCAATAAAGCCTGTGACTTGGAAAAAAATATTTTTTTTTCCAGGAAAAAGACTTAATTTACTTAAAAAAACACACACAGGATTCCAATCAAGGTCTAAATAATGATTGATTAGAAAATCACTATAGCATTGACTGGTAACCACAAGGTCAAGAGTTCAAACCCACCCGTCAATTCTCAGGAGAAAGATGAGGCTGTCTGGTCCCAAAAGATTTACAGCCTCTAATCACATCCACAAAGCACATGATTAATCCTCTATGATCAAGTTGGGGGTGGGGAGGGAGGGGGTTGGAGAAAGGTTCTGAGTATCTCCCTCTTCATCCCTCCCAAAACCAGGAGTTCTTATTCCACTGAGCTTTTGCACCACTTTTCACACTTTCCTTGTGTCATGTTTAAAAGATAAATAAATTTAAGAAAACCAGAAGATTTACTGTCTCAAATACTCTACATAGGGTCACTACGAGCCTCAGCATCAACTCTCTGGCAGTGAGTTTTTTGTAGTTAATTTCTTCCAACAAAATTAATCAGTGGAATAAACCATTAGATGAATAGCTGACAGAGAATTTCCTAATGGAGGGATCCAGCTCTTACCACCTATGCACATAATCAATGTTAGCATTGCTAAGAGACAACCAGACATATGTACCTCTACCTCCCACCACCTTTGAGATGTTCGGGCCAAAAAAGCAAGAGAACTTAGATTTACTTAAACCTACAGGGTTAAGTTACAAATTACTGGAAATACAGCAGAACAAGTTAGATGACACCATAAATAGCCAAATCCAGAAGAAGGGACATTCTACAGGCCAACTGATGTAGGTTCTATAACAAAATAATGGCATGAGGAGAAAAAATGAGCGAGAAATTAGATTACTGGAGACTGAAAAGATTCTATCACTCAGATACAGTCGGTGGGTCTTGTTTGGACTCTGATTCAGATAAACCAACATTTAAAAGGCCTTTGTAAGAGAATCAAAATACGTCTCTGAAATTTGAAGACAGATTAAAATGAGGATGCTGCTAAAGAATTTTCATTAATATTTTTAAGGCACAAGAAGGGCATTTTGGTCATATAATAGAACACAGAAGAGTACGAACAGCATCAAGTCTGGGATTGGCCTTAAAATATTTCCCCAAAGGAGGGTTGGGGTGGGGTGGGGGAGTGGAAAGAGAAATAGATGGATGAAATGAATGTGGCAAAATCTTGAGAAGTGTTTGATCTAAGTGATACGGGTATACAGGCTCATTAGACTTTTCCATTTTTGTCTATGTTTAAATCTGTCCGCATTTCTTGAAAAATGCTCAAGAAATATTTTCATCACAAACAGTAAGTCAATGGTAACCAAAAAAATGTTGTCAATAGGCTATAAACAGCTCTCCTTTCACGTGTTAAGTTTAAGGTGAAGAACTTCTAGGGGCCCCTGCTGATGAGGCAAAAGCAAAGGTTGAGGAGGCAAAGCTTTGAGGAAAGCCCCTCACTCAAGAGCTACTGCTGTTAACAAAGAAACATCCATCAGAAGCAAAGCCGCTCCAAAGCACCTGTTAAAAGACAGAGCTGAGGGCCCATTACTGCCTTAGACTTGGGTCTGTGCCTTAATATCCTGCCTATCTTTATTGTTTTGTCATTTACACATCGCTTCATAACATAGTCTAACGCTCTGCTAAATCAGGAAAAATTAAGCTTTAGATGGAAAATGAGTGGCAGATGTATGCATATGCACATGCGTGCACACACACACATTATAAGCATCTACATCAATAAGAAACGCCTATCCTGCCCCATTACATTTCAGGGGGGGCAGGCCTAATTCTCTCTTGAAAGGATCTGTCAACAGTTCAGGTCATCAGATTGTCTCACAGGCTGGGTCCAGTGTGTCACAAATGTGACAAGAGTTACATCCTCCTGGGAACGAGAGACTGACTTCTTAAGCAATAATTCTGTTTCTGAACGGCAATGGAATTAGGGCTCTGCCTTTTTCCTCCAAGCAGCTCGTTTCTCTCCCTGCAACAGGAAGAAGACTAACAAGACTAATTTCCCTGGGATAAGATGACAGAGTAAAAGCATTCTGAGTTTCTCAGAACAGTGCTCAGCAACAGTAATGAGCACTAATGATACCTCCTTGAACTCATTTACTTCCTTTTAATAAAACCTTGTCGTTTCTCATAATCTATCTTAGTGGGAGCCTAGCAGTTCTAGATATAAACTACGACAAAAGGAATAAGCCAAATGATGGGCCCGTGGTGACAGCCATAACTACACCAGCGTCTATTCTTGCTCCCTCTGTGTTAGGGATGAAGACAGTGAGCCAAAAGGAACCAGAGGGCAATCAGATTAATAAAGAAGAAAGAAAATCGATGCTGACAGAAAGGACTCCAACATTTCGGAAGCTCAATTGGTATTTCACCAGCCTACCCTTTGCACTACAGGTTCAATGAATGAAACCAAGTGTCATTGACAAAGCTGGTCTGCACGCTTCACATAGAAAAGGTAATTTTAAACTCTGCTGCTTCTTTGTTTGGCTTTGAACTTTGCCAGAACATATGTATATTCACTATTCATTGGCAGGATTCAAAATCTTTCTGGGATACAGAAATTTCTTACCCAATAGAAGTAATCATAAGGAGACCAGACCCTTTGCTTTAATATAGTCATTTTAAAAAATGCTTTCAACTTCCCTGACATGAAAATCAACAAGTGTTTGTTTGTTTGTTTGTTTGTTTGTTTGTTTGTTTGTTTGTCTTACCTGAACTGGATTAACAAATTTCCCTTCAATCTTCATGATGCTAGAAGTTCCCAGGTCATCTGGACTAAGGGAGAAGGTCAATTCCGATTCTCTCTCTATTGGGATCTTCTCCAGTTTAAACTGAATGGTGGTGTTGTTCAGGATGTGAAATGCTGGCAGGAGAGGGAGGAATGACAGGCTGTAAACACTACTATTTGCTTCAGTCCTGCTGACTAAGAGCAGAGTAGGTAACACAGAGCCCACGGGGTACTCGTAGACTGGGAGGGTGAGGCATCCTGGCAGCGGGCTCTATGACTGCGTACAGACTTTGACGCCTGTGCCCAAATCAAAATTCACAGCAAGCAGAACCACAAGATTAGTTTACACAAAAAAGGAGACTATTTTCATGACATGCTGCTCCACTTGGCTTCAAAACACGAGGTGGGGATCACAAATCCCTGCCAGGGTTGACATCATGCTTCTCTTGGCCTTTCAAGGCGGCATTTCCCATACCAAATTGCTCATCCTTATCTAGCTTCCCGATACAAGATTTCCCCCTTTTTTATTAAGTCTACCCTGGAATCAGGGGTAATATAAGGTTCCACGTAAATGAACCTCTTTGATCCCAAACAGAGGAAGCAATCTCTCGGCATGTAACCAAATCAAAGTGAATTAAGACCTGAGAACCAGAGAAAACACCTTGCAGTGCATTCATTTCTTAACCCAAAAATGAAGTCAGGCTGTTAAGCATACCTGGTGTCTGTGGATTCTGAGAACAGGATGAACCATTCGGTTTGAGCTTATCAAGTCTAGGCTTTAAACACAAGCATTCTATTCCTAGAGCCTTGGATTAACCCTGAAAAAACAGAGGGTGGGGCATCCCAAGGAAAGTGTAACATCCACAGACTACATTCATCCTGATCTCTCCTGCTGCCTTGAGCCATACTTTTTCACTAGGAGAAGTCCACAACTTGGGGCTATCTGACCAAGTTAAACAGCGCTTTTAACAGAACCCCTTCATCAACAGAAGCATCTCTTGAGATGAGCGCTCACCAGATTTCCAAGGGACCACTTAAAAAACTAAAATGTCTCACTCTGTCAAACTCACCATTAAGTGGAACAAGTTGCAAACCTATGAACCTACCCAATAGGAAAAGGTAGGTGAACAGGTGTTCAAAGAAACCTTTCTTTGGGGATGGTGGCATTTTAAGCCAAGTCCTAATTGAGCTGGAGTTTTAATCTTTAAAACTAAATGAGACAAAAGAGTCATGCTCCTCACCTTGACCTCTATGCAAAGATTCAAAGAAATCATGGCGGGTGAATGGAGTTTCCTCCTGACTACTGACACTGGCAGACCCAGATGGAGGATACACTGTCCGGCTTCCTTCAGACCCAGGGCCCTCTCTGCCTGCCAATTGTGTGCAATTTAAAGAATATAGTTTAATATCTTTGATTTCCACTTGCAGGCGGTCACTTCTGGATTCATCATCTCCTGCCACAAAATTCTGGATGAATATCTGTCCCAGATGTCCTACGAGCAACTCAGGACTCCCAAGCTTCCGAGGGATAGAGGCAACAGGTGATTCGATGTTGATGTTCAAGATTAGCTTGACAGTGTCAGCATGAGGCGCAGCGAGGCCAAACCCATAGATCTCATGTTCTTCCAGGACGAAAGGTTCCCGGCTCTTCCGTGGCGTTTCGAAGAGCGACACCATCTCGCTGTACTCGGCAGTTTTGGTGGCTAGTACTGTGGTGACTTTGGTGGCTGCACTTTTCAGCATACTCCGGAAGTTCTCCTCCAGCTCATCCATGGATAATGTCAACTCCTTCAAGAATTTCGCAGAGTGGTTGTAATGCAAGGACGCCATCTTGAGGCTGAGAACGCACTCCTGTTTGGATCGCTCAACAAATGTAAAACTCAAAGCTTCGGTCAGGGCTACATCTTCCATTTTGACAAACACAGATTCAAAGTAGCCAATGTCACTGATGATATTTTCATAACCTACAGAATTCCCGATGCTGACAACATACTGGTTCTTAGCATTCTCTTGTGTCAGATCCATAAGCTGCAGGCAGCCAAGAGAACCATTCACATCAAATGTGCTGCCCATTGAGACATTAACTTTGGTGCCACCTATACTGGCAGTGGCAATTTTCCTGCCATACTTCTCTCCATTTGCCATCTCCACTGTCCGCAGGAGCAGTAAGTTAAGCCTATGGATTTCCACTGCAACCTCGGTGTTCTGCTCATATGTGGATTGGTAAGTGCCTTGTTCCCTAAAGCTTCTTTCAAAATCCGTCATTAAGGGCTGAGGACTCATATCATCTTTTTCCTTGGGGAAAGATTTTTGAAGAAAACCAATCAGTTCTACTATTGTCTCTGGGTTCAGGATGATATCCAAATTATTCACCTGTAACGATATGACCTGGAGAGTGCTGTCTAAGTTCATCGAGGGACACTCTGAACTCACAAACTGATATTCCAACTTGATGAGGGACTCTTGTTCTTTGGTAAGAATTTGGTCAAGTGAAACACTAGTCACTGATCGGTCGCTCGGTGCATTTGCATCAGTTAAATGGGTCGCATTGGGTCCAGAGATAGGAGACTGGGCCCTGCTATCCCGGAGGCTTCCTGTTGGAACATCAAAACTCAAGTTCTTGTGTGAAGCCATCAAAAGATCAAAATCAGCACCGTATGTCTGCATGGTGTCTACCAGGAGAAGACCATGAACAGTTAGGGAGACTTCAGCATCATAAGGCCTCTTCACAAAGTGAGCATTGGTACCAAATACCTTGAGCACGGAAATATACCGGCCATTGCTCTCAACAGCAAGCTGCATACAGTTCACTTTAAATTCAGCAAGGAGGAGCTGAGATTCCACCAGGACCTCCCGAGCATGCTGCTCCAACATCACGATGCTCTGGGTTAAATTCATAACTGAATCTTGCAGACTTCCCCGCTGTCCTTCGTGGGAGAAAATGTTCTCTTTAATCTGAGTGTCAGAAGTCTTCATTTCTGAGGGGGTCAAAAGAGCAAAGCAATTCTTTAGAGCAGATATTTTGTCTTCATTGATATGGATTTTTAAATCTGGTAAGTTGCCTGAGAGCACTGCTCCTGGATATTTGGGATCTGACGTATAAATCAAGCGGCGTTCCAACTGTAGATGAACATTGAACTTCTCTACCACATGGGTGGGTCCCACGTCAATACCCTGAGCATGTTTCCAGTTGTCTTTCACTCGTCCAACCATGATCTGGAGGTCCATGAATGACAGGGAGTACCTTTCGTACATCTTTGTGCTCATTAAATGTGCTTGAAGTTGTTCCTCACTGAACTCAACTCCAGAAAATGAGGGTGTCCTCTCGCCACCACTGCTGCTAGTCTCGGGAGGTGGAGTATTCGGAGGTGTGGCCAGAGGAGTCTTGTATTCATCGTCACTAAATTGATTCTCTTCAGATGCTGACCCATCTCTACTTCTCCTCCTGGTGCCATCTACAAATTTTCAAAAAGAGAAGAGTCAAAGAATATGCCTGTTCTTTCCTTCTTCTGTCCTTTAATGTAATAATTAAGAAAACTAGACTATGAACAAGTCCCAACGAAAAGCAACTAGATAATCACTCTTGAGTATAATATTCTGCGTCTACCATTTATCCACAGTGGCTATATCTAGATACAAAAAGTGAAATTACATGAACAGAAAATAAGTGAGTGTGACCCGCGGACATGAACACACCAGGGTATGGAAATCACCGTCGGCTGCCCAAAGCTGTTCTGCCACCACGGGAGCTGCCACAAACGGCGCTCTTTACAACTATCTGTGAGCCTTTGTTCATTGTTTCCTCTACTTTTGTCTACGTGTCCATTTTGTTTCCACACGAAAATGTTGCAAAAGAACAGAGGTCTCCATCAGTCTTACTCAACACAATATTGCTACTGCCACAATCACTGCTTAGCAAGCAGGGAATGCTCAATGATCACTTTCTTAGCTCCAGGCACACGTTCTCAGCCCCACTCTTCAGCTAAGCACGTCACTCACTAATCAATGTCATCAACATGTTACATGATTGTCTAAATCCAAGCGGGTGCTCTCTGTGGTTGGGTAATCCCTTTCTTAAGATTAAATTCCCTTCTAGCATTCCACTTAGCACTCAATTTTTCCATTCTTGCTCGGCTCCTGTACCTACTTCTTCCCCTTTAGGTCTTCTCAGTGAATTAAGTTAAGGGGGAGATTATTTGATAGGTTTCCTCAATGTCTTTTACCCTTGTACTCCCTCTTTCTTCCTTCACATCTCAAGATAAACAATGAACACTTTTTTGGCTCTTAGAATAGCAATGGAATTACCTTACAGGAGTCTCTTTTTATGTATGCCCCTAAATGACAAATGGATTAAATTTCTATCACTGGAAGAAAGAACTAGGGACTGATTGTTAAAATGCAGAATGTTACATAGGAATAGAAAGACAAATCACCATGTGATACCACTTCACATCTACAGGGATGGCTATAAGAAGAAAGACATTAACAAACGTTGGAGAGGCTGCACAGAAATGGCAACATTCATTTGCTGTGAATAAGACTGCAGATTGTAAAACAGTGTAGCTGTGTTGGAAAAGAGTTCGGTGGTTTCTCAAAATGTGAAACATAAAATTACTGTATGATTCAGTAATTCTAATCCTACTGGTTGTATATACCCAAGATAACTAAAGACCTGGACATGAATGTTCACTGCAGCATTATTCATCAAAGTCTAACGCACAGACTAACAAAAGGCCATCAACTCAAGAATGGATCAGTAAAATGTGGGTGAATCTGTATGAGGAGTTACTGTTCGGCAGTGAAAAGAAACAAAGTGCTGTTACATGCTACATATGGACCCTCCTTGAAAACATTAGGCTAAGTGAAAGAAGTCAGTCAAGAGGCCACAGGTTAGGTGAGTCAGTCCATTCATAAGCAAAGTCTAGAAATAGTAAATTCAGTGAGGGTTAGGGTGGCCAGGGGCTCTGAGTGAGGACGAGGGGGGACTGCTAGAAGAGATGGGCTTCCTTTGAGGACGAGGGGGGACTGCTAGGAGAGATGGGCTTCCTTTGAGGACGAGGGGGGACTGCTAGAAGAGATGGGCTTCCTTTGAGGACAAGGGGGGACTGCTAGAAGAGATGGGCTTCCTTTGAGGATGAGGGGGGACTGCTAGGAGAGATGGGCTTCCTTTGGGGAGTAGAGAAGACACCTAGTCACTAGTGTGATAGTTGTCAGCTCTGTCAGTTCTACATAAGCCGC